CCGGACGCGGATAATGAACCTGGCCTTCGAGTGCTATGCTATCAGTCGATCGAACGATCGATCGTTGCGTTATCGGAATAATTCGTGATTTGTCGACATCTAGGCAACGAGAGATAACACGAAAAGAAAATTTACGACGAATCTTAATCAATCGCGAAAAATGGCGAATTAAAAGTAAGATATATAATAGAATTAAAAATTTATATAATAATCACGGTCAATCAATTTTTTAATTTACATATTATTTTTGAATTAAATTCTTCAATTATACGTGCGCAATTTCGAAAAATGTTGAAAAAAATTGGCCAAGGGAAACGTACATATACATATACTCTTCGAATTGCTACTTATTCTTGCTGTTTGATCGCGTGTCAAAGCCGGCTTTATGTCGCTATTATTACCGCCGCAATCGTTTGTTACGGAATACATAGTTATTACACTGCGCACACTCGGCATACTAATATATTTATACTCATAACAGTCTCTCTAAAATTGAGTAAAATCAAAAAGTCTCGTTGCCAGGGGTAACGATTGTTTGTCACCGCGAATGTTATTACGCCATGTTTGCGACGTTTAAATTGTCGCAAGGACACCTAATTTACCTGCTCGTTAGAGCCAATCTAAATATGCCAACATTTTTATTTTTTAGTGCAACTTAACGTTTCGCCCAAAGACTTGAAATCGGAAAACGGCGTAGCTAAAAGTATATCGTAAGGCAATAAAACGCTTCATAACAATGGGAAAGTCTCGCATGTTGGGCGAAAGGTAAGAGAAACGCTGACGCGATGGAACAAGATGTACAGCATGCGCTTGGACGCGTCGTTTCCCCGAAACCGACCCGGGAAAGCGACCTGAAATTATTATCCAACTTTGTGCGAGCAACAAGTGTCGTTAAATCAACTCCACGTCGCCCATCTCGCGTATCGCGCACGGCTGTGCATCGTCACACATGCACGCACGGGACATTTAAAGAAATGTTGCCAAAGTTGCGGTCCTCCGCGAGAGCTTTTCTCTTTGGGGACGCCCTCACCTTTTCCTTGGTTTACAATTTTGAAACGCGTGATTATCGAAGCGCAATTATATTAAAATAATTAATGTACGCGATTCAAGTAATTTATACATGTTTATTTTCGATAATTATTCATATATATGACGCGACCATTCGCGAGTCAAACGTCGCGGAAAGTCGGTCGGGGGATGAGAGGAGAGAGAGAGAGTGAGGGGGAGAAACGACGAGAGCGGATGAAGAAGCAATCATCGGTATTAAATAACGACGAGGTCGCACCTCGCGCGCGCTCCCCGTCGCAGTCATGTGCGTTACTTCGGACTGGGCGGAGGGGGCGTGAAACACTTGAAAATCCCGTTTATGTAAAACACAGGAAAACGGGCCTCCAGAAGACCGCGTCGCGTCGCCTCGCCTCGCGCGTTGGGACGTTAGGTGGAACGCGTAATTGAAAGCACTTTAGAGACCCTAGCGGCACGCACAACGAGCTACTCGCATTTGCATTCAGTGGCGGAGGGAATGCCTTTTAACCGAAATGACTGCGTGTGTATGACAAACGCCGCGGTTTATGTGCCGGAACGATGGGAATATTTATTGGCGCGAATTAATGTCTCCACTCGTCCATACACATATACCGCGCGTTCGGCATATTACACGCACTATATATGTGTATACATTTTTTTATCGGGACATTTCGCAAGCGAAATCCACCGGGAGGAGGGTAGGAGGTAAAAAGCCCATTTGCGGCGAAAAATCATTTACGCTGGTCCATATTGTGTTTGTTCGTGCGGGTTTATGGAGATACGAGTGGTTTAGCACATCATCCAGTATACCCTAATAAGTAAAACGACTCATTTCGGATGGATAATCAAAGATATGAAAATAGCCGTCATGTATCGCTTCCAGAAAAATTACTCGTTCATTGAGAAAGTTTACAAGATTGGCAAAAATTTTCAATGATCATTGTGGAAATGTGATAGTATGGTAGCAAAAAATGTATAATTTGTCATTATATAATTAATCATATCTTAAATCTTTATCCTTTATTTCAATGATGGAGTGCATCGATTTATATTTATCATAACAATATTATCGACTTGTTTTTGTCATTTCTCATTCTATTGCTGCGATTTTGGTACGAATATAATATTGAGGTAAAAATTTGCGTCGTGACAGGATGGCGGATACGAGAGATGATGTACAGGATGATCGAATTGAAAACACACAAATTATTGATTGTAATATCTATATATCGATGCATATATAATAATGTAGTAAAGTATCTCTTAAAATATCGCAAAACGTATGTACAGAGTTCACGATATATTTTCGTTAACTTATCGATCCTTTTTTATATACATTGACCGTCATGTATATATTCGGCGTCATAAGTGTGTTTCAGTATCAAGAACAAGCAAGAGACGTGGAAATAAAATAAATAATCCTAAAAATCACTCTGTGTTTGTCTGTTCGTTTATTTCAAGAATAATATATATGTACAGAATTGCTTGCTGGAACAGGATGTTTTTTTATGCGAAAAAAGATCCAAATTGAATATATTGTCCCGTGACGCGACAAATTGTGCCCGAATACGAAGTGCAAATTTAACAACGTTTTTGGACACATAATTAAAAAAAAAATAATTGTCATTTCTTTATCAACGAGCAATCATTTATAAAGAGCAATTATTAGATAAAAATAATAAATATAGACTGCGTATTTTATTTTAATAACAAATAGCGCATGTGCATATAAAAAGCAATTTTTAAGAGTGCATCTAACTCTTTTAATTCAATCTCAAATGGAAATAAAAGATATAAAAAGAAATTCCCTTCTTTTAAATTAACTTATACTCATTATATCTATGAATCAATCTTTACGTTTTCAAAAATCAAGAAAATAGTAATCAAGAAAATTATCAAGGAATTGTAATTAGGATGTATAATGAATTTTTTTAATGAAAAAAGAAATAAATGTATACATATATAAGAATATAAAAAATGATAACTCATTTTATATATATATATATATATATATATGTGTGTGTGTATGTATATGTATATATATATATATATTATTTTTTTAAAAACCTTTTTTTATATTTTATATGCGTATATGTGTAAAAATATTGCATACACATAGTATGTTATATATTTTATATATTAAATTTATTTCGTTTTTTATTTATGTGTCATGTGCATACGTTAAATATCGTTGAATAGATATATTCAATATAAGAGAAATAAATTTTCATGAAAAGAAAATCTCTCAAGAAGAAATAATTTTTTATGTCTTGAAAGCGTTGAATACACTTTTATAAAAAAAGTTATTTTTATGTTATTATTACGAAATGAACAAGCAATAATTATCATAAGAGGCACAACAGTCAACACGAAACATCTCACATTTCCTACAAATTTTTCGCATCGAAACACACTGTACTTTTACAGTGTCTCTTATCACAGACTGAATCTCAGTTACAGCAAGCAACAACTTGGACTTTGTGGGTGTGTATGCCTTCTCTCTCGGTCGTTGCAGATACGGTTGAATGTATACACGTACGCACGTATAAACGCATATATTATCGTCCCGTTATTAATTTTCGTACGTATAAAACATTAGAAGTATCCGCGTTTTAGACACTGAATAGCGTAGAAACGTACGTCTTTCTCGGGGGAAGAGAATTAACGGAAGATCAAGAATATTCTATATTCTTAAGTACTCGCGCAATAGAAAATCATTTATGTTTCAAAAGATTATGGAATATTTTCTTCCAAATATGAAGGATTTAATAATAGCACAAATTTTATTGAGGTTTCATTCACAAAAAATTCCTTCTTTATTAAGAGTGTATGGATAAATAAAAATCACTTTAATACTATTGACTCTAGATGAATACTTAAGAATTATTTTTCGAATCGCGCTCATCATCGTTTGATCAGTCAATCGCAACAAAATTATGAGAATCTCGTACGATAAACCCTACGAGATTATATGCAAGGAATCACACGAATATAAGTATTATAATAACGTACGTATACGATGAGATGATAACGATGAAGAAATATCGATGGTAGGAAAAAATTCGGTTGCAATATCGATAACGAAAGATAAAGAATTGAAACGAAGGATTGGTGTATAAGAGAGGAGTAACTAAAATATCGTATATCATTTTAAATAACTAATAATAACAACTAATAATCTAATAATGGCGCATAATAATATAATAATATTAACTATATAATAATAGTAATATGATGAAATAAGGATATTTTAGTTCTGTTAAAGTGTGTATAATCGATTTTAAGGGTGTGACGGAAATGAAATGAAAAAAAAGACGTGCGTTTAATTCGCTTTAATTTCAACAAGTTTGCCTTGAAAAAAAAGCGCTTTATTGTCGAGGGGATGCATTTGTTTTGTACAGTTAAGTATAAATCGACAATAATATACATAACATAAAATATCCTAACTTTACATTAATTTTATACGCATAAATCAGTTTCAAGGCAGTCCAGAAAAGTCCGTTAAATAAGAGTCGTGAAATTCCTGAAAAGTTCGATTTTTGCAATACTTTTCAGGAAACGCATGAGACATATAACATCAAATAGTATTACGTATCGCGGAGAGATGCGTATCTTCTGTTTACTTTATATATGTTTATGTATATATATATGTCTATATATGTCTATATATACATATTTATTTATACAGTCACATATATACAGCCATAACTTAATATATACAGTCATAACTAAATTTCATAACCTGTAAGTCGTGCAAAAACTAAAAAATTTAAATATTAAATATATAATATACTAATATATTAGGCGTCTACACGTGTGTGTCTGCAGAATAGAATATTTTTTTAATCGGAATAAAAGCTGCCTATAATTTTGAATATTTCGAATATTTTGATTCTTTTTTGATTATTTCTTCAATTGTGATAAAATATAAAGTAAATAGAAAGTAATACAACATTTTATATTTATATTATAATTTTCATTATATATTCTATCGCATTATTCAATTCCGATTACGTACAAAATTGTTTCAGATATTCCACTCTGTACACTTATTGCGAATTATTATACGAGTAGACGAAATGAAAGAGTATAAATGAAATAGTATGTTAGAACTATGATATGTACACACGACGCGTCAAAAAATGTTACGAACAATCCAATAATATTTTGCAATGTATGTATCTCAACATATGTCTCATAACAATATTTTATAATCTATGTGTATTTTATAATGTATGTAATTCTATGCGTAAAAAGAAAAGGTTTCCTATAACAATGACATATCACACTGCGATTGTTTCTTAGAAGCACAATATATGTTTCTTCCTAAAATATATGTTTCTTCCTAAAATGTCAAAAGTAATTTGTTTTCTTCGTGAAATGCGATAACATTTCTTTATTGCCAACGCTGGAAATGATGAAGCACCGAATACGACGTCGACAATCGAACCTTGCACAATTTTTCGAATTATAACATTGTCCTCGCCGATAACAAACGGATAAAGAAATATGTAAACTAATCAAAGATAAGTTAAATAAAATCACGAATGTCTGCACTGCCAGAATCCAAGTGGAACCAATGTGGATATAACGTCTGCTCGAATAGGATTCCTCTCTTTGGTAACGTCGCAATTTCGCAAGAGCGCACTTGCAAATAATGTATTATCGACGCCTTCTACACAGACCGAATGTCTCCGTGGATGTCCCTATAGGCGAATAGGGATGGCGATGATAATGTGCAGCACATGGACGAGGATGATGGAGAGAATCTTTCGTGCGACGTGAATGCGAGCGAAGGCGCGGTCTCTCGAGTACCGAGAGCGGAGAGGTCGATTCGTTCTCGTCTCTTCCTCTCTCTCTCTCTCTGTCTCTCCAGAAAATTGTCTTCTCTCTCTCTCTCTCTTTATTATCATGGATTATATATATGTATATCGCACTTCCTCCTTTCTCTTCTTACTCTGTCTTTGCCTTTTTTTTTTACAGAGTTCCAATTCGTATGGGTGTCCGTCCAAGCTTGCCACTTTTTAAGCTACGAGATTCCTACGAGGTCATGGTTTATATGTTAGGCTGTAGATCACAGATGTGAGAAAACGTTAAGTTTTTAAATTTAGTTCATCCATTCAATAATAGAGTCGAAAAATAGAAGTCGGACGAAACTTTTGGGTATTTAGCGAGTCTCTGATAGAGAACGAAATGTTATCCGAATGCGAGATGATATATAAAAAAATTGTCGCAAAATCTAAGAAAATTTATGATAAGTTGAATAGAAAAATGCTTTGGAAAAACTATTTCTGGAAATAATAGTTTGATTTTTTATTTAATTTTTATCAAAATAATGTTTTAATTAAACTCAATGTCAATATATATACGATTTAAAATATAATTATATGGATACAAATCACTTCTCTAACAGATACAAAAATAGAAATAATAAAGAAAAGAATTAAATTCTTAAGGAAAAAAGTAAATGTCAAATTAAACATGTGGTATCGTGAACTCTGCTTCTTTCTGGACCCTATGTTCAAAATAATAATAATAATAATAACAATTCGATGTTCAAATTTCGAAATGTTTATTTCACATAAATTTATTTATATAAATAATAACAAAAAATAAACATTTAAATGAATAATAAGAATTATATATATATATATATATATATATATATATATATATATATATATATAAATGTGTGTGTGTGTAAAACAAAAAAGGAATGACTTGAATGATGTAATCAACTACTCAATGCGAATAAAACTCAGTGCGAAAAAGGATAAGTCACACTTAAGAAATAGAATTACGAGAAAATCCAATGAAACTTTTGACGATTTATGGCGAAAAATATTTCGAAGACAAAAGAAGCGCGTTTAAGAGCTTGTTTCGATTAAATGTAAACTGTGTAACAATGTTGTAAACTCCATATATATTGTAAATCACTCTAAACCCGCAGCAAACGTATATAAACCTCTTATGCTTCAAATGCCTATCAAACATAAGCCATATCCCGCCTTCTATCAATTCGATGGTTCGTACAATATATTGAAGATTTTTTTAAAACAAATCTCCTGGGAGCAAATCCTGCATCCAGTTGGTGCTCAAAGAGATGACGATTAAAAAAACTCACATACCAGATAAAAGCTCACAAAAAGTGTATAAATGATTGATGATGTATTTCAATGTAATAAGTGTCTCTCAGTTAGCATAAAAACTAGATGCGCGCGTATGTAGGTTTTAAATGCGTCCCTAAATATAGATTCAACCTTATTCGTTATTAACGGCTATTATACTCAAGTAGCTGTTATCCCAGTAAAATTCATAATTGTTAATGTCATGTTTTATTAAGCGCGCTACACGTTTCCGCCTTGCTACGCGCATAAATCGTCGGTTTAGGCTTCCTCCTTCGCTGCCGATACGAGATACGTCGGTCTATAATTTTCTAACGTAACAGCGTCTTGCAAGTTTACCCCCCTTATTAACTCGTTAAATTGTAACAATCGAGCGCGAATATAAGCGACTCGTCGCCCTTGTTTCAGACGCATAAACGACCGAATCGGGGATACAAATATCGTACATCATCGTTTTTTAGTAGTTAATTGGAGTGTGATGATAGAGGGTCCAGAAGCATTGTCACGATAGCATATGCGATATTATCGTCTGCGGTAAAGAATCGTGAATGTTCGCATTATGAAATATATATATATATATATATATCCCGAGAAAAGAGAGAAATAACAGTTATTTATACATACATTTCGTTCACAGTCATTTTGGTGAAGAAATAATAAATATATAAATATATTAAGCAGGAGTTATATATATTATACTCATAATGCGACTCACGAATTAGTGCGTGTATAGAATACGTAGGAGATCTTTATATATCAAACAGTGGGGTCAGAGATATCCATACGTAATAAAAGAATTCTCAATGTATTTTGAGAAATTATAAATTGAATCATATATTTATAATGCTAAGAAATTATTAAATCCGAGCAAAAGAATCTAAATATGAAGTTAAAAATTTGTAATATTTCTAATAATAAAGTGTGATAAGTGTGATAAAACAACCTATGGATAATACGAATCATAAGGATCTCCTGCGAATTTCTATACTGCTCGAATCACGAATTTCGAGAAGAATGATAATCTCCGAATTGGCATTGACAAAGATTATCGATAATTCTCGTTATTCGAGCGAGCGGTGCAATCAGTATCATCGAATCAGAATAAACTGCATTATGTTGTAAAATTTTATCGGCAATTCAATAATAAAAGATTAGCATCGCGAGTCGAACGCATATTTTTTTTTAATCGAACCATCTGGCAATAGGATTCGTAGACTCTATCATTGCCTGTAACGATTCAAAACATTCCTTTTCGTTTAAATGTAAATATTATGTATCTTTCTCTAGTGATATTTCCGAGAGCCGTGAATCTACTATTTAAAGCATCATGATCCGGAAAATCTAGAAATAATAATTACGATTATATAATCTAGAAATAATAATTACGATTATAAAATAATACAAGTGCGAAAATAAATATTCTCTACAAATTGTGTCTCGCAAAAAATCTCAAATTAGACTCGGATTAAAGTTGGTTAATTATTTCAAACATCACGTACATATTGCTAGAGAAATAACCGTTATGTTTTCGGGTACTTTTAGCAAGAATGTGGCAGTTTATTCCGCTTCTATGATTTTAAAAAGCGATTTGCAAGCAAATGTAAGCGAGAAAGAGAGTTGCGTGAGACTGTTGCGAGTGAAGAGAAAAGAGAGAAGAGAAAAATAGAAAGAGGAAATCTATTTTTCTTGTTTATTTGACATATTAGATAGCTTACATGTGCGCAAGCGGCTGTATGGCCGAGTGATGTTGCGCCAAAGAGTCCGGCGACGGTCCCGGCGAGTAGACACCCGCGCCATGCGGCACGACTCCTTGCTCGGCTCCCTGCGGCAGGTACATCGAGATCATATGCCTGAGGTCGCCCTGCGTTTGCTGGCTCTGTTGCTGGCCCATATACTCTCGCTTGACGGCTTGGCCGGCAACGGCGGCCGCGCCCGTCGACGTCGGTCCAGCCGTCGGCGTCGGTGTATGGATTCCGCCGCTCGCAGGGCTCGTAGGCTCGGATTTTATGCTACTGCCGCTCGGACTGTGACTCGACATCTGAGAGCCTGGTTGAGCCTGGTGATAGGGCGATGGCGAGCCGCCGGGGACGGTGGTAGCGCCGTATCCGCCGTACCCGTTCATGTAGTTGTTGATAGGACTGGGACTGCCACCGCCCATATGATGGCCCATCGTGTCGTACCTGGGGTAACCGGCAGCCGAGGCCGCTGCGCCTCCCATGTGACCGCCATACGCGACGTGTTGCTGGTACGCGGTCGGGTCGTGCATCATGTACCCGTTAGGCATGTAACCGTTGGACATTTGATAGACGTCCCGCGGCAATTGCGGCTGCTGCGGCCCACCGCTGGTACCAACTTGCCGCTGATCAACGAGCATACCGCCGACACCGGCCACGCCACTCGTCAGCGGGAACTTGTCCTTCTTGAGCAACGTTTTTGTCTTGCGTCGTGGCCGGTATTTGTAGTCCGGGTGCTCCTTCATGTGAACCGCGCGCAATCGTTTCGCCTCGTCGATGAACGGGCGCTTCTCCGACTCGCTCAGGAGTTTCCACTCGGCACCCAGGCGTTTCGAGATCTCCGAGTTGTGCATTTTAGGGTTCTCCTGAGCCATCTTGCGCCGCTGTCCGCGCGACCATACCATGAACGCGTTCATCGGCCTCTTAACGCGGTCCATATTGTTGTTCTTGGCGTTGGCCGCGTTACTCGAATTGTTGGGATTATTCGGGTTGCTGTGATTATTAGGCTGATGATGTTGTTGCGATTGCGACTGCGCCTGTTGTTGATGGGAGTGCTGCTGCTGCTGCTGCTGGGCACTCTGTTGCGTTGTCATCGCGTGCATATTCTGTTGATGTTGAGCAGCAGCGGCGGCGACCATATGCATCGAGCTGTAATGATGCTGCGACGTCTGATGATGATGCTGCAGACCAAGATTCAAACCGCCCGTGCTAGGCGGACTTCCCGATAGCGCCGGGCTATGGACTATCGAGCCAAGGGTCCCGTAAGAAGACATCCCCGTATGATGACCCATCGGCGATACGCCCTGGTGAGGATGCGGTGGCATCTGAGCGTGCAAACTGCCGCCCTTCATGTCCGTCTCCATCGTGAGCATGTCTTCCTCCCTGTGCCCGTACAGTTTGCCGCCCTTTTCTGATACCGTCGACGTCAAGAAAATCAACAGAGCGCGCCGAGACTATCAGATCGATCACCGGCCGATTACCCGGGGGTTAATCGAGTTATCCCCAATCACTGTGCGCGAAACAGAGATATGAAAGTCAAACGCGGATTCAAAGTTGACTAAATCGTAGCCCCTTCTTCGTTAGGGAAAAGTTCTAACATGCGCGTGCACAACGTCAATTTCTATCACCTGCGAGTGATCAATCGATTACACGATCGCGTGGGCGTACTGGTTGTACAACGTGCCAACCATGAATGCGCATTCCGTACGAAGTATGTGTACAATCTTTGTTTCACACGCAGCGCTAGATCCAGTCGCGAGAATCGTTTGTGAAGGGGTCAACTTCGGGCGAATACGAATTCAATAGGAAACACCACTCGCGATTCTCATGCTATCGAATCATCTTCCGCACTGTGCGTTTTATGGTGGAATCCTTCGTATTTTCTCTTCTTTTTCCTTCCAGTAAGTTTCACCGAAGAGATCTTGGTACGATCTGTAAGCCACAGAGTCCAAACGAGAACTGACGACACTATCACTTTCTTCCCCTCACTTGCTAGTCTCTCACCACTCCGTGCCGTACGCTAGCTGCTCTGACTGGCTGTGAGCCACGGCACGCTCGACGAATCGCGTTACGACAATGCGGCAACGACGCATCAGCAAAACACGGATGCTCCGGCGCGGCGGTTTTCTTTGAAATCCGACGATGGCACCTGAAATTGTGCGCGTGATACGAGACCAGGAAACCGACCAGCTAACTGAACGAAAGTTCACCGTTCACGATCACTGCTCTATCTCCAAAAATCTTTTTAATTTGTCACACAAGTTTTCCTATGTATTGGAAACTAGCTTTCTAGTAGATATCTACTGCTATTGCCGTATGTTGCTTCTTTTCCGATCGCTCTTCCACAACGAAAACGAAGAATAACCGATGAAGAAGAAAGCAGATACAACTTCTCTCCACGAGAGAACGAAACTGTCTGAGCGTAGTGAGCGTTTCAGCCTTAGGGTCGAAGCTCACTTCCTGCCGACAGCAATCCCCTTCCCCCTGAGTTTCGAGCTCCCTCTTCCTCAATCCCTACCTTCGTTGAGGAATGAGCGGGGATCGTACCCGACAGACCAGGCTCGAGGGTACAGCGGGCAATCGATTGGCAAGCGCGCCTGCCATCATTTCTCTCGGCCAATCGGCGCCGGCTCGTTCACACGAAGGCGGCGCCATTGCGCCGTGACGTCACCAAACGTAAAGGACCGACCTCTCGCGGCAAAGCTTTGATCCCCGTCATCGTGTTCCCCTTCCCTCGTTTTTCATCCCTACTCTGCTATCTCGTCGTCCTCTCCTTCCCTTTTCCCCTGCTCCGTTCTGTGCGCCAGTGACGTTTCTCTTCGCTTTTTCGCGCCGCGAAATCGGCTACCCGTCGGACGCATGTACCGCTACGTGCTGAGCAACGCTGCTGTGTATACATACGTGTCCACGAACCTTAATACGCGATGCGTACTAACTATATCGATTTTAATGCGAATAAGTTACGTCTGATACGAGCGCGACAATGATCTGATATGACTTGGGAATTTTAAGAATTTGCGACACAAACAGAGGAAAGAGAATATACGGAATCTTTTCTATCTCGACTTTTAAAAAATTGTAGAGCAATATGATACACCACACATTCTTCTTCAGATTAGAATAATTCGTTTTAGAAAAAAGATAATTAGGGAGTTGAATTTTGTGGAAAAATTACGATGACAATCTGTGTTTATCGAGTAAATTAAATAGATATTATGTATAAATAGATGTCAATTTTAATTATCAATTCAAAATATATTCCATATGAATATATGTGCAGTTAGTTGAAAATGTCGTCATTAACTGATTTATGTGAATATTTGACAGATGCGTAACATGGCTAATTTGTAAAATAATTAAATTTTTCAGAAATTTCATGGAAACAAAATTAAATTAATGTTTTATACTGGCAAAATGAAATTTTTCCTGTTTTTGTTTTGATCGGATATCATCGTTGCGAGATAAGAGCTTATCGAGATAGCGGATAAATGACCTATAACTGCGTTCGATGCAAGCTGCAACGAGCTGTCAAAGATTCATCCTCAAGGACGAATTGCGAAATAATTGCGAAATAAACGTCGTCGTGATCACGATAATCGCAAACTCGAGTATACTCGAAAAAATGTTCGAGTATGTTAGAGAAAATGAAAATATAGTTGCGATAACGAAAGTACGTAAAATTAAATATAATTTTAAATTTATAAATTAAATATTGTAGATAAATACGACCACACACAATCTTGTAATGAAAAAATGTAGATTGCACTTGACTGCAGAAGAAATATATATTTTCAAATATCATGTGTATGTACAGTATTGATTTTTGGAAAATCGATGTCTCGGTTACTGATATCGAGTCGCTAACGCACAAAACGCAACCGCGTTTATCTATCACGCATACTTCCGCTATGAACCAGCTTGTCTCGTGTCTCTTCTCCTTTTCGCGCATCTCGCGGCAACAGGTTCCACAACATGGAGCACGGTGAAACGAAGTCGTGACGCCCAATGAAGGCTTTTCGGAGACGACTTTGAAACGTTTCTTTGTGAATTTTGGCAGTTGACAAATGAGAAGTGGAAATACGGGAAAATGAAACAACGAAAGCCCTTTATCGCAAATTCCTCTCTCTTGAGCAGCAATAAAATGTATTAAATTAAAATTCTGGATTAATATATTACTGCAAAAGATAGAAACGATGGATGAAAAATCTGTAAACGAAACGATTCTTTTTTTTCGATCAAGAAGTTAATATAAGAAAGTATGTTCAAAAAGAAAAGTAAATTCATGACAATTTACTTTTAACAAAGAAAAAAGCTAATTGATAAGATATCAATGACGCATGGCGAATCAGTAAGAATGTGGGACGGGAATTACGCATTAGGTTTTTCATTTAATCTGTGATATATATCCAGTCATATCTGTCACATGTATTGTGGAATGAGAGCAATACAAAAAAAATTTGTTGTGCATTCTTGCGATTTGAAAGATAATTATAAATACTGAAGAGACAAGCAAATTTTTTGCACATATAAAAATGAAAATGAATTAATAATTCACAATTAAATAAAAAAAGGCTAGTAAATTTTTGCTAGAACAATCTTATAAATTGTTTATTATTTTGTCATATCCATAATTACCGAATTTTTTTTGTTCTCAATCTGTGTGATAACTCTTCAGTATTTTAACAAACTCAAATAATTAAAAATATTTTTCTATTTTCAAGTTTTTATTTTTAATTTTTATTTCTAACTTGTTTCTAATTTATTAAATCAAGATCTCACTATTAATTGAAAATTACCGCAAAAATAATATTTAACTTAGCAGATCACTTTTATTTGAAACTATTTATGAAATTCTTGTTGAAAGCTTTTTTTAAAGCTCTATAAGTAAGAAATTATTCATTTATTATCCACCTAATATAATACAAAATATAGAAAAAACTCAATTTTGATATAAATCTATAAATGTGATCAAGATTCCTTAGAATTCATAAACGTAAAAAAATCGAGGTTGAAAGAAGGGACAAAAAATTTCCGAAACTCCGGAATCTCCCGATTGCCTCGACGCATGCGTGGAAGGTAACGAATATCATACCAGAAAATACCTCACACACATACACGAGAAAAGACGCGCGCTTTGATCGCGAGGTCGCGAAATCGATACGCGTGGGGAGAGAGGAGGGACGTAATCGCGAAACTAAAGGTCTCGTCGCGCGCGAGTTCCCGAACGTCGGAATGAATGAACGTGCGCGGGCACGAGACGACGGCCCGTTCGTACGGGTAGAGAGAAGCAGATCGATCGTGGGCCGTTCAGGATTCTGGTTTTCGAGTGCGTCTATGCCGGGACAACACAATGAGCTTTCTCATGTCGCACGCTGGATGCGCACCAGTATGCGGCCGATGCGCACACTCGTGCACGTATGCACGCGGCGACCGCGCGCACATCCCGATAGAACAGATAGCTCTACGTATGAGCGCGCGTGTGTCGTATACGTACATCCGAGAGAGTCTAGGAAAGAGAAAGAGAGAGAGAGCTTGGTGCGCCACAAAGGCAGTGCGCCATCGAGTATCGCAAACATTGATTTGAATCACAAAGACCGCCCGCGGTATCCCATTGTCGGACTCCGACTTATTGTACGCTTTCTCTCTCTCTCTCTCTTTCTCTCTATTTCTCCTTTACCCTCAGCTTTCTGCGCTTGTATCGCGCGATTCGCGCTCTACCTTTTTTCAACGGTAACGACCTATCAATCCACTTATTCCGCACGGTTTATGTGCCACTTGTGGCATTTCGGCCTAATACCGTTGTTGCACGCGGCGCAAATAATGCATCGCCAATTTTTGTGGATCGCACGTCACCTGCGACAGAGCTATTGTGAGCCTAATATCTGGAGCTTATTACGTTGTAAGAACGTATGAATAAGTTTACGGAAGTTTCACAAGTCGTACAGTGACTGTAAAAAAAGTTATGTAAAAACAAATTTATATCTCTCTAGAAAAAATATATATATATGCGGAATATCATCGATCGCAGGTACTTTGCACCTGTGTCGGAACTCGACTAATTGGATTAATGGCAACTGAGCATATTCATGCATAATTGTTCTGAGCCTGCCAAAGCAGCTGACCGGCGATAATATTTATTGCCTCGTGGTCGCTCGATGAAAGCATTTATTTTTCGCCCGCTATCTAATACCGAATGATCCGTAAATCATGAATAAAAAGTCATAAACATAAATCATAAGTAAAAATCCCGTTTGCTTATAAAGGGAAAATCTTCCATTATATATAACAATAGGTACAGTGGATAATGTGCAGATTTGTACTCGTAAGTATTGTCAGCGAGAAGAGGCTTAGAGAGAAAATGGCTATTTAAAGCCTCGGAACATGCGAATTTTTAAAATACTGTTTATGATTTTCAGTGAAACACACTATTTATGCGGTATTTATCAACTAATAATGAGATGACCTTGATTCAGCAAGAGAAAATTAGAAATAAAAGTTTCAAAATAGAAAAATATTAATAATTTTTAAATGTATTATAAATGCAATACAGATATAATCAATCAATATATTATATATTATATTCTATTTATTCATTGTTTCTTGTTTTCATTATTGTTGTAAAAATATTTGCTGTTTATTAAAAAAAATAAATTGCTGCTCAAATTTCGACATTCCGTCGATTTAATATCGGAATTTTGCGTTGAAATAAATATTTTTTTCGATTCATCAAACTTGGACGCTCTCAAAGTTCACGTAACGAAAGAAAAAGGCCAAGAGAAGAGGAGAGGAGAACACGATCGGGTGATACGTGAACGAATTCGTAGGCGTCCGATTGTCAACAGGTGATAGCATTGGGCCAGCTCTTAGAGCTCGAATAACGAAAGAAAGGGAGATTGTGTGTGCGACGATGAGGAAGGTTAGGTTAGGTTGGAGGAGGAAAAAAGAAGGGGGGAAGGAGGAAAAGGGCCGAGATCGAGCGAAAATTAGTGGGTGGTTGTGACGGGGAGAAACAGTAGCACCGGAAGGGTAGCCAACAAAGTCTTTATCGTTTCGAGGACCGATTACAAAGCTCGATTGTTACCATTCTTCGGAACCCAAATAATCTCTCGCTTGCATTCGAACCACAGACGAGCAGCCGCCAGTGGAACAGAAATTGCCAGTGGATTTTTACGCACTGGTGTCATTAACCCAATGAACCATTAAAAATCATTGTTTTTTTTAAACGCCAGAGAGAACCTGATTATCCGATATTAAAATTTTTATATTCTTTGTGATCGCAATATTTGTCATATTAAGTATATTATAAATTATAAATTACGCTATCTTTACACTATCTTGAGCAGCAAAAATATTTAAATAAATATATATATATATATACATATATATATATATATATATATATATAT